TATATATATATATATATATATGTGTGTGTGTGTGTGTGTGTGTGTGTGTGTGTACATGCATATGTATATATCTGAATATGTATACACATATGTATATATATTTCTATTTCCTTATTTATTTATTTATTTGGGGGCTGGGGATGTGGCTCAGTGGCAGAACAATTTCCTAGCATGCCCAAAGTCCTGGGATCAATCCCTGGCACACACACACACAAATATATACAATTTTAATGTATTCCTTGGAATAACATATGCACGTGGCATAAAATTCAAAAGACACAAAAGAATGTAAGTTGGAAACCAAGTGTGTCCTATTCTTGTCCTTCTCTGCCCCACAGTAACCTTCTCAGAGGTCACCATAATTACCATTTTCTTGTGCAGTCTTCTGGAAATAATTTATGCATAGAGAAATACAAATAAGCTTTTTTTTTTCTCACCACTCAGATGGCAGCATTCCACACATGTCACTCTGCACCTTGCTTTTTTTTTTAAGTTAAAACAAGACTGTAGAGATGATTCTGTACATGTACATAAGCGCCTCCTTTTTCATGGCTACATACTATACTATTTGATTGTATGAAATCATACCATAACCGGGGTATGATTTAACCAGTTCCATCCCTTACACATTGTTGTTTCTAAGCTTTTGAAACATGCTGAAGTTAAGAACCTCAAACTGGGTGCTGTGGCACATGCCTGTAATCCCAGTGGCTCAGTAGGCTGAGACAGGAGGATGGCAAGTTCAAAGCCAGCTTCACAGCAAAAGGGAGGTGCTAAGCAACTCAGTGAGACCCTGGTCTCTAAATAAAATGCAAAATAGGGCTGGGGATGTGGCTCAGTGGCCGAGTGCCCCGAGTTCAATCCCCAGTACCCCCCCCCAAAAAAAAGAACCTCAAATGGCTGGGCATAGTGGCACACACCTATAATCCCAGTGACTTGGGAGACTGAGGCAGGAGGATCATAAGTTCAAAGCTAGCCTCAGCAACTTAGCAAGGCCCTAAGCAACTCAGTGAGACCCTGACTCAAAATAAAAAAATGAAAAAGGTCTAGGGATGTGGCTCTGTGGTTAAGCACCCCTGGGTTCAATCCCTGATTAAAAAAAAAAAACTTCCAATATACTTCCAATGCCCTTTATTTTGCCCATGGGTCAGCTTATCTATAGGATAAAATCTTAGAAGTGGAATGTCAAGGTCAAAGGGTATGTGTAATGTGTGCCCTTGGAATCCACTGCCAGACTGACCTCTGCAGAAGTAGTACTCACTTGTCCACAGCCTCACTCACATTGTGTATTAACAGACACTTTGAATTTTGCCCGTTGGTAGGTGAAGGTGGTGTCTCAGTCTAGTTTGACTCTACATTTTTCTTACTTTAAAATACACTGTGATAAAATACAAACCCATAACATCTACATGTAACACAAGTTACCATTTTAATCTTTTTCTTTTTTCTTTTCCTACTTTCTCTTGATGTTGGGGATGGAACCCTCTTGAAAGCAAATAAATACTGCTCTACCACAGAGCCACATGCAGCATCCTTACATTTTTTTTTTTTTTTTGGTACAGGGATGGAATGCGGGGGCACTCTACCACTGAGCTATATCCCCAGTCCTTTTTACTTTTATTTTTATTTTGAGAGAGGGTGTCATTAAATGGTTGAGGCTGGCTTAGAACTTGTGATCCCCCTGCCTCAGCCTCCCTTCCAGGTAGATGGGATCACAGGCACGTATCCAGCTCCCAGCCCTTAACTACTTTTAAGTGTGGAGTTAGGTGGTGTTAAGCATATTCACAATTGTGCAATCAAAATTCTCTGTTTTAAGTCTCAATATTGAGTGAGGCTGACAATTCCAGGACCAGTTTGGGCCACCAGGGACTCAGAGATGAATCAGCCCCTGCTCGCTTCGTAACTCCCTGGCTGATGGGAGACAGAAATGTAAACAGGCTCAGACAAAATTGTCAGCAGAGCAGAGTCTGAGGTATCTGGAAGCTGAGGGGCAGAAGGGAAGTGGGGTGCCACCGTGCTCTAGGAAGGTTCCTAGGGAAGAGTTGACCCAGAATGACCCCTGAAGGAAGGGCAGGTCTCCCAGGTGGAGTGTGACTGAGAGAAGTTCCAGAGGCCTGAGGGGTCAAGGTGGGTTCTGGGAGCTGCAGGTAAGGTTTCCAACCTGTGGTGGGTAGAGTGGGTGATGAGATCCTTGGAGGCCACTGTGAGGACTTTGTCTTTTGGGGTGGTAAGTTTGGGGCAAATGATCAAAAGCTACAGGATCCAGGCTGGTGGCTGGTGTGGGGCAGCGCTGGGTGGGGGTGGGGTGGCAGGGGCATTCAGGACAGAGTCCAGATCACTGCCCATCTTAGGGGCAGAACTGGAAATGGCAGGGGGGTGGGGTGTGAAAGGGTGGTTTTCCAAAGGAGATGCCATCCCTGAGAAGGAATCAGCGGTCCTGGGGGCTGGGTTGGGTCACTAGGAGAAATGCCAGTACAGCCAAATGGAGGAGGCATGGGGGAAGCCACAGTCTCGTCTCCTCCTTCAGACTCTGAGGTTCCCCAGCCCAGTTTGGCGACCCGGAGATGCAGGGCCAGGGACAGCAGGCGGACCAGACCCTCTTCCCCTGCCCGCCCCTAGGTCACTGCGGATCTCTAAGCCCCGCCCCTACGGCTACCAGAGGGGAGGACAGACGCCCTCTTCCCTCCCTCGCGAGCTCTCAGCTCGGCGGGGGAGGGGCGTGAGGATGGGGGGCGGGGGGGGGAAGGAGCCAGTGTTGCCATGGCAACCAGGCTGGTGGTCTGGCCCCGGAGACCCGAAAGGAAGGGGAGAGAGCGAGAGAGGGGGAGGGAGGGAGGGAGGCGGCGCTGTGGGCTCGGCAGGCAGCGAGGGGGCGAGGCCGGGGCCCGGGTCTCCTGGGAGGAGTTGGGAAACACCCGGTAATTCTCGCGGTTGATTCCTGGTGGCGCAGGGAGCCCGCGTGTTGGCGAGTGTGTGTGTATGCGAAGTTCCTGGGTGAGTGTGCCCCTCGCGTGCCTTCGTTGGTGCATGTGTGTGAGCTTGCACACGTGGGGTCCAGGCGTGTGTGCACGGGAGTGCCCAGGCGAGATGTGTGTGTGTGCCAGCCTCCGTGCACACGAGTGTGTGCCAGCCCGCGTGCCCGTGCGGGAGCGCGAGCACACGTGTCTGTGTGTGCACTCGCGTGCGCTCCTGAGTGTGCCCGGGCTGCGCGTGGCGGGCGGCGGGTGTAAGCCGGAGAGTCCACCCCCTGCCCAGCCCGCGCCCCTCCGCCCCCGCCGCGCCGGCTGCATCCTCGCCTCCGCCCGCCTCACCCCCTCCTCCCGCACTTTCTCGGCTCCCTCCCGCTCGGCGTGGCGCTCGCAGCCCGACTCGCGCTCTTCTTGCTGGCCGCCCTGGGAATCGCCGGCCGCCGCCGCCCAGCCTGCGCCCGCCGGCTGCCCAGTGCCTGGCACCTGTTGGAGGCACAGAAACAGGTGCAGGGGGCTGGGCCGGCCGGGGGCGTGAGGGTGAGGGTGAGCGCCTTAGCCTGTGGGCTCCGGGGCTGTGCAGCTTTCCTGCGGCTGAATTTCTGGCTCCCTTTGGGAGGCACGGTCAGGAGGAGGCATCTGAGGCTGAGGTCCTCACCTTGGGCTGCGGGAAAGACAGGAGGCAGCGGCAAGGAGGACCAGGCAGACAGACAGATCCCGGGGCAGAATGAAGGCTCAGCAGGAAGTGGAAGCCCAGAGGGGTGGGTGACACCCGGACCAGACTTGCGCCTGATGCAGGGGATGGCCAGAGCTTAGAGGCAGGGACCTCTGGGGGTTGCTATGGGGTATACAGGGCTCAGGCACAGAGGGGAGCCCAGCATGAGAGGACTGAGCCTAGAAGATGACAAAGGGACAATCTGGAGGTGGGGGGCAAGGTTGAGGGGAGCCAAGACCTGTCTGCTCTGTGTGCCGGGAGTGGCCTGGCAGCTCAACCCCTGTGGAGCCAGGCTCCTGGTCTGGAGGACCCAGGCCTCCTGCCTGCCCACTCACTGGCACAGGTTGCCCTCTCCCTTGACACCTAGGAAGGGCGGCCAGAGAGGGCCCCACAGACCAGGAAGCTCAGCCTGGCCCGCAGCCAGCAGGCATAGGTATGAGGAGTCAGCCAGCCAGCCAGCCGCCTCCAGCCCTCACACCCTCCTCCCCCAGCCAGGGGTGCTGCATGAGGGGCCGCAGGGGCGACCGCATGACCATCAATATCCAGGAGCACATGGCCATCAACGTGTGCCCCGGGCCCATCCGGCCTATCCGCCAGATCTCTGACTACTTCCCGCGCCGGGGACCAGGACCTGAAGGGGGGGGCGGGGGCTGCCGGGAGGCCCCAGCTCATCTGGCACCCCTGGCTCTGGCTCCCCCTGCGGCCCTCCTTGGGGCCACCACGCCTGAGGACCGAGCTGAGGTGGACAGCTATGATTCAGACGATACCAGTGAGTCTGGGGACTTGAAGGGCTCCTGGTGTTAATGGGGGGCCTCCAGGCTTGTGGGAGGGGACAGGCCCTGCTGGGTGTGCACTAGCGGAGGGGGGAGGAAGGATGAGGGATGGTGGGGCTGCCACCACAGCTGCAGTCCGGGTGGAGATTACAGCTTGAGCAAGGCTAATATTCAATATTTCTGCTGAGACACTCCACCACCCACACAGCCCCAGTGGCGGCCGAGCCAGGGACCCAGACGCACACATGCACATGCCTATTCAGCCTCTTGCACACACTCATGGGCCCACAGAGATGGAGACGTGCACATCCACATCCAGCCATGGGTCCCTCACACACACTTATCTTGGCATGCCGACTCATGCCACCTTTCCCTCTTCTGCAGCTGCCCTGGGCACACTGGAGTTCGACCTTCTCTATGACCAGGCCTCCTGCACTCTGCACTGTAGCATCCTCAGGGCCAAGGTGGGCACTCCCTGCCTGCCAGACTCTGACCCTGTGGGGTCCCAGCCTTCCTTCCCTTCCCCAGGGTGGACCCCACTCCTTCCTGCCTCCTTGGCACCTTCCCTTGGGTGCTGCACACCTTCAGAATCCTGCTTTGCAGAGGGCGGGGGAAGGGGCTGGGAGTCACCATCCTCTTTGCTGTCCTCCCTCCAGGGCCTCAAGCCCATGGATTTCAATGGCCTGGCTGATCCCTATGTTAAGCTGCACCTGCTGCCTGGAGCCTGCAAGGTAACAGTATCCTCTTTCTCCCAATTTGGTCCTGTCTGTGGGTCCAACCCAAATTCTCCCAGCCTCTGCCTTTTTCTAGGGGCCTCAGGGACAAGTATCAGAACCCTTTTCTCCACACCCCAGGCCAATAAGCTAAAAACGAAGACTCAGAGGAATACGCTGAATCCTGTGTGGAATGAGGACCTGACCTACAGTGGGATCACAGACGATGACATCACTCACAAGGTGCTCAGGTGAGGGCTCAGCCTCCCTGCTGCCAAGGATTCCAGCCTGGCACCTCCTCTGGGACACCTGTTATTGTAACCTTCTTTGGTTGGGTGACCTCTTTTTGTCCCATTAAGCCCTTACCTTGCTGATGCTCAAGATCAATCGGTGGCTCTCCAGCCCCATCAGCAGCAGGCTGAGATATTTTCCTGGCCTTGCCTCCCCCAATGTACCTCCTGCTGTTCCTCCCATAGAGGACTACCTAGCGTCTTCTGGTTGTCAGTTTTATAACTCCTGACTTTGTTGGAAGCTCTCGGCTCCCTCTCTGCCAGCCTAAATCCCACTCATTTGGAGCTCAGTCCAAATTCTGCCTCCTCCAGAAAGCTTTTATGGGACCCCTTGTCAGAAGCTCTGACCAAAGTTGGATCTGTGTGCTTTGGTCTGCCTTCCCTGTCTTGTGTTTACTTAAAACCTCTGAGGGAATTTTTCAGGGTCAGAGAACTTGTTCTGTCATATTCTCCAAAGAGATGGAGATGTGGGATGCAATCCCTCAGGGGTAATGAAAGCAGTGATGCCTGAGTTTTTGTTCTTGGACAAGAGTGAGCCACAGAAGGGAAGGGGATATGGTCAGGGCTGTTTTACAAAGATCACTTTGGGGGAGTGAGGGACAGAGGCAGAAACCAGAAAAGCTGGCACCATGTTTGAGATGTGAGAACGGGGCCCGAAAATTACTGAGAACTCACCAGTGAGCAGTTTTTCCATTTCTTTGTCAGTTGACCCTCAGCATAGCTTCCAGATTTGGGTACCCATTATCTCCATTTTACAGATGGAAACTGAGGCTAAGGGAAGTTAAGTGACTTCGCAGGTAGGTAATAAGTGGCAGGACTGGGACTTCAACATGCCCACATGCCACAGCTGCTCAGCACAATAGCTGGTCACAGCAGCAGCAGCATGAGTACATAGTGGGCAGATGGAAATAAAGACCTTCACTTCTTAATTGCTGGGTTGACATGTCTCTGCCAGCTTGATGCCCTGCTCCAGGTGGAAAGGACAGGAGGGCCCAAGGAGGTGAAGGGTCCTTGGTTGCCTGTCCCAGACTCCTCAAGGCCCTTCTAGCTCTCACAGCCTGCACCTATGGTCACATCCACCAACACACACCTGCGGGGTTTAGACAGATCTTGCCTCCTGGATGGGGATGGGGGCAGTCCCTAAGATTTGTGAGGGCTTTCTGCAGATCCTGAAGGGCAAAGGACACTGGAACAGGGCAAGCTTTAGGGCAGAGCTGAGACTGGTCTGAGAACCCTTCTCCCACACTGGAGCAGGGCTCAGGTACGGGGGCCCTGACCCTGAAGTTCCCTGCCAGGATCTCTGTCTGTGATGAAGACAAGCTGAGCCACAATGAGTTTATCGGGGAGATCCGAGTGCCCCTCCGCCGCCTCAAGCCTTCGCAGAAGAAGCATTTTAACATCTGCCTTGAGCGCCAAGTCCCGGTCTGTGTGGGAGCTGTGGGGTTCCTGGGGAGGGAGCTCTAGCGGCCAGATTGCCAGAAGCTTCTCTTTGCCCCCTCAGCTGGCTTCACCCTCTTCCATGTCTGCGGCACTAAGGGGCATCTCCTGTTACCTGAAGGAGGTGAGGAGCCTCACAGGGGCCACAGTTGGGTGGGAGGTGGTGGAGGACCCGGATAGACCCCTGTATCTGTCCCCTGCAGCTGGAGCAGGCAGAGCACGGACCTGGGCTGTTAGAGGAGCGCGGGCGCATCCTGCTGAGCCTCAGCTACAGCTCTCGGCGCCGGGGACTGCTGGTGGGCATCATGCGCTGTGCACACCTGGCTGCCATGGACGTCAACGGCTACTCTGACCCTTATGTTAAGACGTGAGCCCTCACCTTTGCCGGAGCCTGAACCTGCCGGAGATCCTCTGGGGCATGGCCTGTTCCTATAGCCCACTGTCTCCTCCCCAGGGACCCTGAGCCTTGCCCTAGATTCCTCTGGGTCTTGGCCTATCCCTAATCACATTCCCACCCCCAGGTACCTGAGACCAGATGTGGATAAGAAATCCAAGCATAAAACACGTGTGAAGAAGAAGACTCTAAACCCGGAATTTAATGAGGTAAACACGGACAAGTATCAGAACCCTTTTTTCAGGGACAAGTATCAGAACCCTTTTCTCCACACCCCAGGCCAATAAGCTAAAAACAAAGACTCAGAGGAACACGCTGAATCCTGTGTGGAATGAGGACTGAAATCAGAGTGGACTGGGGACAAGAGCAGGGGTGAGAAAGGGCCTCACTGGAGGTGTGGTTCATCTTGTCCCCAGGAATTTTTCTACGAGATGGAACTCTCCATTCTAGCCACCAAGACTCTGGAAGTCACTGTCTGGGACTACGACATTGGCAAATCCAATGACTTCATAGGTGAGGCGAGCCCAGCGAGGTGGTACCCAGGGTGGACTAATGGGCAGGAAGCCAGGCCCTGACTCTGTCTGCTCTTCAGGTGGTGTGTCCCTGGGGCCAGGCGCTCGAGGAGAGGCACGAAAGCACTGGAGCGACTGTCTACAGCAGCTGGACACAGCTCTGGAGCGCTGGCACACCCTGACCAGCGAGTTGCCCCCTGCGGCTGGGGCTCCTCCCTCCACCTGAGTGGACAGCTGCTGCCCGGCACAGGCCCCTCGGGCCAGGTCCAGTACCCAACCCTCGCACGAGTGTGTTGCACGTTTACACAGGGTGGGATGCCCCCACCCTACGCCACCTTATTTGTGTGAGAGTCTCTGTGACCGTGGGTCTGTCTTGTGAGGGACTGTGGAGATTTATATTCACATATGCAACTTCCTCTTGCCTGACTCGCTATCACCTGCAAATATGCAAACCACCCCGCCTGCACACCTGCGGGGAGTGCTGTCAGAGCCACACCCCAGGGACCCCTGCTCCTTTCTCCAGCCTCTCCAGGCTGCCCCACCCCTCTCCGCACGGGAGGAGGTTGGATTCGGGGAGGTTTGGAGGAGGAGAATGTTCCCAAAAGAGGACACGCAAGAGAAGAGCCACTCCTTTAATACACAAAAGTCCTAGCCCTGTACAGCTGCCCTTCTAAAGGGGTGGCCATCACTGGGTCTCTGCCTCCCTGTGAGGTAGCAGATGCTTCTGGCCACTCATTTAAATAGCTGTCCCCTAGATGGGGCTGGGATGTGAGGGCAGGGCCCCTGCCACCTTCCTGGGGGACACTCGTGCATGTTTACGCCTTCTCTGATTGTGTCAGTGGCCGAAGCATGGCAACTGGGCGTCAATAAACATCTCTGAGGAAGCTGGGGCTCATGTGTGCTGGCACAGGGAGGGGGTGCTGGCCAGCGGTTTGGCAGAAGACGCTGGGTGGTCACTCCGGGATGTCAATCACCAGGTCATCGTCCCCGTCCAGGGCATCATCTCCACTGCCTGCATCGCTGAACATCTGCCGCGGGACGGTGCTCAGGATTGTGTGAGGGGGCATCTTGGGAGGGGGCAGGGGGGTCAGGGCGGCTCCAACCCCAGCTCCAGGACCCCGGGCAGGGAAGGTCAGTGGCCCGCCCACAGGGCAGTCAGGGGGTCCCACCGCCATCTGCAGCAGGGGAAAGAAACAGAGGGAGGACTTGTCAGTTCTCCAGGAGGCTAGACGCCGCCCCTTAAGGCAGTTCTGAGGGGTGGGGAAGGGGCAAAGGCTCATTCAAGGGACAAAGGACACAGCTAGTCAGCCAGTGCTGCAATCAGGGACCTGCCCCACCTTGGCCCCTTCAAATTCCAAACCAGCAAGTGCCTGGGAGTGAGGGGCAGTGATGCAAGGTGTGATGATGGGGGAGGGTGGGGTGACTGATAGGAATCTGGGAAGGGAGGTTGGGCCCTGCCCTCTCCAGGGAGGCACCCTGGATGCCCTGTAACAGCAATTAAAGCCAGTCACAGCCAGAGACAGCACGGAGTGCCTACCTCCTCCTGCCTCTGGGCCCCTCAGGTTCCACCTGCCACCAAGGCCTGTTCTCCCCCTCCTCCTGCAGGACTCACTGGTTCAGTGGAGGGTATCACAGGCCACCCCAGCCAGGAGCCTGGGAGGCTTCTTCGCCCCCCAGAAGTTTTCTATTACATCTGGGACAGGCCCCTCCGTGGGATCCCCGCAGCCACTGGCCTGGGCCAGGCCTCCTCTCAGCTCACCTGTGCTAGGGGACCAGCCTCCTAACTGGACTCCCTGCCTTCAGCCTCTCCCAGATCCAGATCCTCCTCCACACTGCAGCCAGAGTGCTCGCTCTAGAACACAAACCTGAGCATGTCACTCCTCCACCTGAGGGCCCTGGCCCTCCTGCCCTCAGGACAGGCAGTGCAGTGTTCCTGACAACAGGCCAGCCCTCCACCTGGAGCATCCTTCTCTATTAGTCACAAGTCCTGCTTTATCCTGAGGCTGGGAAGTGGCCTCTGTCCTGACCAACCCTCCAGTCCCACCTCGGCAGGTCCTCAAAAAGCCTCCCCAACAACAATTCTCTGGGTATGGGAGGCAGCCCTCATGCTTAGTAGGCACAACCTGAGCACCTACAATGTGCCAGGTGACTTCAGTCAATGATCTCCAATCCTTAGGGCTACCCTGGGTGGGAGGAGGGTTACCTGACAGGGGAGAGAACTGAGGCTTAGAAATGGAAGTTTTAAGGAACAGACCTACCAGGTCCTCACTGGGCAGTGCCTAGTGTGGCCCTGGACTGGATATGGCAGGAAATAGTCACATGTCGACTCCATGGTGGCCTCCCAATTGCTTTAACACATCTGGCCTAATGGCCTGATCTCTGCTTCTCAAGGAGCCTCACCCTGACTTCTGCTCCTGGGGTGACATGGAGGACTAGAGTGAATCAGGCCGCAGGCACAAGAGCCTGTCAGAACAGATGGCAAACTGGAGGCCCAGCTCTGAAAACCAGACTGTGCTAAGCTCCCACAGGACAGACACACAGACACTAAAAAGAGCAGCTATGTGAGCCTCCCTCCTCTGGCTACTACCTCTTGATCCCTACCTGTTCCCCATATCCTCCCCTGGCCTGGACTTCCTCAATGGCCTCCTCGGTGTGACCAAGAACTAATGTGGTTCTGGCCTGCTGGGGCTCAGGCACTATGCTGCAATCTCCACGCTTTTACTCATTTAGCCTCTCATGATCCCAGGGACACTGAAGAAAGTGAGGGTCACAGAGTTAACGACATGCCCAAGACCACATGGGAGGTAGAAAAGATAGGATTCCAACCCGGGGCCTTGTGCACACTAGGCAAGTGCTCTACTACCAAGTTAGACCAGGCCCCAGCGTTTTTTTTCTTTTTTTGAGTCAGGGTCTGATTATGTTGCCCAGGCTGGTCTTGCACTCCTGAGCTCAAGTGATCCTCCTGCCTCAGCCTTCTGAGTAGCTAGGACTACAGGCATATGTCACCCGCCTGGCCAGGCCCCAGTTGAATGTGCCACCTCTGCTCATACTTGCCACCTCCCATCTCTTTCTCACCACAATCTTCAGAGACTCCAACTCCCTTCACAGTAACGGACCACCTCCTTTTCCGGGCATCCAATCCTTCTTTCTATAATCCCACTCCACCCTGTTGTTTTCCCAATATTGTTCTCTAGTTACTCCTCCTACAGGCCACAATTTCCACTTGGTCTCCATCTCCCTTCTTACTAGCCTGGACTATCCAGATCTCACTTACTCTCCACTCAAATGTTCTCTCAAATCTTCTCTCTCCTCTGAGCACTTCCCTGATCTCTCCCCTCCCCCACATGCGGCAACTGACTTGGGCCTCTCTCTCAACCATTATGTTGTGAGAGGAAAGATCCTGTGAATCTAGAACTTAGCTCCGGCATTGTTCTGCTTCAGGCCCCAACTCCTAGCAGAAGCCTCCTACTGCCCACACTTATGCCGTTGCCACAGTCCCCCATCTGCTCCAGACTGTCCTGGTTACTTTCTCCACTCCTGCCTTTCAGGCCAGAAGTAAAAAACCTTCAGCAGGGGTATTACCAGCCCGCTGTTGTGTTGGGGAAGGGACCCAGGGCCTCGGGCATGCTAGGTAAGTGCTGCACCACTGAGCTGCACCCCAGCCCCAGAACCCACTCTCTTAACCACTCGACACAACATCCTATTTTGCTTCTGACTTCAGAGCCAAGAGCCATCCACCCTGGTCCCAACTCAACTTTGATACCAATCTGAATGAACAATGTAACTTTGGGCCCTCAGTGGGCTCCTCATCACTCCTGAGGCTCCCTCTCAGCCCTCTTCCCTTCCCCATCCACCTCTGTGTTGAAACTTCCAGTGGCATCCCTGAGAACCCCATGCTCATGTATCCAAAGCTGACATTTCCAGGTGGCCTTTTAACACCAAGCTCATCTTCCCTCCAGATCCTGCTCCTCCCACAACTCTCCCCATCTCAGAAAAAGGCCGCTCCACTTCTCCGGTTGCTCAGGTGAGCATCCTGGAGTCTGGCTGGGCCCTCTCTCCCTGTTACAGCTACACTTGGTCTCCCAGGAAACCTGTGGCCCCTGCTCTAAAACCTGTCTCACTCTGTACTCTCTCCACAGCTACCAGGTTTTCTGTGGGTCACTTCATCACTGTCATCCTGACTTGTCCCCAAACCCTGCACCCAGGCTGGCCTCCACACAGCAGTGTTGGCAAGGTGACCAAAATGTAAATTGGAACAGATGCCACCTTTGCTCAGCCTCCTCCAGTGGCTCCCATTTCAGTCACTGTACCAGCCACAGTCTTTCAGAAACTGGAAGGCCCTTCACAGTTGCCTACATCTTGTCCTTCAATTGCCTACGTCTTTGACCTGCTCTGTGATCACTCTCCTCCACTTCCCTCCCACCAAATCCCTGAACAAGCCAAGCATGCACACCCCTGGGGCTTTTGCCTGGTTGTCCCTGACTGAAACCCTTTCCCTGGGATCCAAGTGGCTTGCTCTCACTTCCTTTAAGTCTCTGCTCAAGTACATCCCAGACCACCCACCTTGGAGCTCCCCCCCCCCTTTCTTGACTGTTTTCTCTCCTGACACCTATTCATCTTATTTATCTTCTGTCCATCTTGCTAGAATGTGAGTTCCACAAGGGAAGGGGTTCCACCTGCTTTGTTCACTACGGTAATGTAGCACCTAGGATGGTGCTTGGCGTGAAGCAGATGCTCCACCAACACTTGGTGATTCCATCTAGTTTTATCACTTACTCTACAGATGCAAAATCTAGAACACTTACAGAATCAGAGAGACCTGCTCAAAATTGTATAACCATGTTATACTGGGGCAGTACTAATTGAATTCTAGATCCCACAACTTTGCCCAGCTCTGAGGCTGCCTGGTGTCATACAGCACTCACGACCTGTGCAAATGCACCCTGCCTGGGACCACACTGCAGACCCTGGGCATGCTGCCACTGTGTAAGGGCAGGACCCCAGGCATCCTCACTCCAAACCCCCCAAGGCTGGTTCTGCCCCAGATTTGTCTCAAAAGAAGTCTGAGTCAGGACTTCTTGGATCCGCCCCTTAGTGCCTAGTCCTGGGCTGGACTCTCAGCAGTTCCAAATAAAAAATGGATACCCAGCCCATCTCGAGCCTCCCTCAGACAGCTGTCCTGCTGATGGGGCCCCTCCCTAACGTCCCCAAATCAGGGTACCTTGAGTTTCCGGGGCAGGCGGGGTCGTTTCTCCCGCTTGGGCCTCAGGGGGCTGGGCTCGGGCAGCTGCAGGGCCAGGTAGTCAGAAGGGAATGGGGGGTAAGGGGGAGAAGCCAGCTGCTGGTGGGAGTGGGGGATGGAGATGGGAAATGGAATGGGTCAGGGTGAGGGGTGAAGGGAAGAAATGCAAACAGGAGGAAGAATGGAAAAACAAAAGAGATGGTGATGAGTGTGGCTCCCAGGGCTCCTGAGAATAGAAGGGGAAGGGACAGCAGCAGGACTATGTCCTGGGATCTGCTCTCCTCAGTCATTCTGTCCCCTGTTCCTAGACCAGAGAGAAGATGGGCAGCCCCGACACTCCCTCCAGGGATGCTTGCTGGCCATACCCAGACAGATGTCCCCAGAGTTAGGGTGACTGTATGTGGAGGCCTGGCCCCTTTGCCCAAATGATGCCCACCTTATTCCCAGGCATCTTAGTCCACCACTTCCTACCCTTGACCCCCAACTCACCGAGCTCAAGTATGGGGAAGGGGCTCCAGAGGCCTGAAGGGGAAACCCTGTTGAAGGAGGCAGGGAGAGACTGGAGGGGGAGGGAGCACCCCCCAGCGGAGGGCTTCTTTTCCTAGAGAAAAGACAGAGGAGGAAGTCAGAGGCAGCTGGGAGGCCCAGGTCCACCCCCCACCCCCATGGCTGCTTCTTACCTTTTGGGGGCTGGTGTGTCAGACAACTTAGGTGTTCCCTCTGTCTCGCTGTTCTCTGAAGATGCGGTGGCATCTGAGTCTGTGCAGGAGAAGGGCTGGTCAGTGGGGGCTGGGGGCTCCCAGTCTACTTCAGAGGGCTGTACCCTCAACACTTTAGAAGGAAGCTGACACCCCAGCTGGCACACACATACGTACTATTCTGGGGAGACCCACAGCTTTCCCAGCTTTCACAATCTGTTTCCTACTCTGGCTTCTTCATAATACATTTGCCAAACATGTACTACGTGCCAGGCTCCTTTACACTTACTGCCTCTGGTCTTCATAACCATCACCTCCACTTTCCAGATGTCACTGAGGCTCAGAAAGTAAGGTACAGGACTGGGACTTGAATTAACTGTGATTCCTTGACTATTTTACGTAACTCTCTCCTATATGCCTCCAAGATGCCTTCAGCTCCTGCCTGCTCCACATTCCATATTCTGGGTCCTGTTAATCTAACCCTATCTCAATAAAACTGTCTTTTCTGTGTGTGTAGTCCTGGAGATCTAATCTAGGACCACACTCATGCTAAGCTCATGTTCTACACTTCAACTCCTAAAACTGTACTCTATCATTCTAACATCTTTACTCAAAAATATAATTTTTTTGTGTTCAATACTTCTTCCTAGAAGACCCATCATTTACTTCAAAAGTGATGAATATGATATATGCAGTTGCTGATTTCTCTGCTCAGATTTCTTTTCTTTTCTTTTTTTTTTTTTTTGGTGGTGGTTCTGGGAATTGAATCACAAGCCTCATGCACATTAGACAAGCACTTTACTACTGAGCTACATCCCCAGACCCTCAGACAAATCTTTTGAAATAGTGGATTCAAGTCAGGTAGAGTAGCATGGTCCTGTAATCTCAGCTTCTTGGGAGGCTGAGGCAGGAGGATCTCAAGTTTAAAGCCAGCACGGGAATTTAGCAAGACCTCCGCTGAAAAACAAAACAAAATTAAAAAGGGCCAGGTATGTAGCTCAGTGATAGAGTATTTGCCTTGCATGTGCCAAACCCTGGGTCTGATCACTAATAAATACTCCCCCACCTCCTTTCACACAAAAGCAAGATTGAATGCCACCTTCTCTCAGAAGTCATCTAGAATCTCAGGCCCAGTTAATTGCTGGCTCTCAGAACCCTCTACTTTCACTTGTCATGGTTTCCTCACACTCTGTGAGAAGTATCATGTATAGACATCTCCTTGAACAAACTATGGGGTTCCTTTAGGATAAAAGTAGAGGCTTACATCTCTGGCAAAGCTCCCCAGATTTAACCCCCTCTGATCATGAACATGCTGGGTTCTCTCACGGCCCCATCCTGAAGTTTCAGGAAATTACTGAAAGACTTTAGGGTGGGGAGAAGCACGGAATGAGGAGCTAAAATAAAGCCAAACTTTCTGTCATGACCTATGTACGCTGGTCCCTGCCTACTTCTAACATTATCTACAATTTTCCTATAGTAGTAAATGAATAATGGGTGTTGTAGTCCAACAGAACATTATTTTACAGCTTTTTCAAATTATGGGTTTCAATCCACTAGTGGTCATGAAGTTTGCAACCAGTGTCAAAAGTAGGGAAAAAAGTAGTCTAAAACACAGGGTTGAACTACATATAGTGATATTAAAAATGTTTTGTTAAATTTGATTGTATAAGTGTATATGTGAAGATTTGATCAAAATGTAAAATATGTTAACAGTATTGTAACATTATTAATTGTTAAAACTAAAAAAAATATGAAAAACAATGCCCTACACTCTTCATCCCTGTTACTCAGACAAGCCTGGCTGGTTCTTAGCTTAGGGCCCCTATATTTGTTATTCTGCCTAGGAAGCTCTAACCCTATACTCAGAAAATTGGCTGCTGCTTCTTTTCTTTTTTTGTTAGTGGGGACTGAATCCAGGGGCACTTTACCACTGAGCTAACATCAGTCCTTTTTCTTTCTTTCTTTCTTTCTTTTTTTAAAGACAGTGTCTTACTAAGTTGTTTAGGGACTCACTAAGTTGCTAAGTCAAACCTGGAACTTTCGATTCTCCTGCCTCAGTCTCCCAAGTCACTAGTGTTACAGGTATGTGCCACAGTGCCTGGCGGGCTTTTAGATTTTTAAGTGATTAAAAAAAGCAAAAGAAAAATCATACTTCATGTGGAAACTAAATGAAATTCACTTTTCAGTGTCCATAAAGTTTTATCAAAACACAGCCAAATATGTCAATACTGGCTGAGGCTGCTTTCACACCAGCTGAGTAACTGCTTAAAGAAAGGATATTCCACAAAGTCTAAAACATTTACTATCTGAGGCTTGATTAAAAAAAAAAAAAAGTCTACTCTTGTTCTACTTAAATCATCACTGCATTATCCTGTTTTTTATCTAAATCCTTATTGCTACCTAAAATTCTAGATCATTTCCTCTCGACTAGAATAAAAGTTACAAGAGACCAAGCGCTTTGTCCATCTTTGCTACTGTTATATTTCTTGCGCCAAGCACAGAGCTTGAAACACAGAGCTTGAAACACAGCAGATGCTCCATAAGTACTTGAATGAAAGAATGGTAGAGGTGGAGGCTTAAGAACCATTGGAGGCTGCATCAGTTTCCAATGCCTAAGAAGATGGACCCAGGAAGACTTGCTTAAGTGCCAAAAGCCACGTCTACCTCCAGTTTTTCATGACCTTGCTCACCAGAGGAGTCTTCATCCACATTCTCATATTGCAGAAGTCGGTCTAGGAGAAAACTGAGGGAAGAAGTGCGAAGGAGAGTGTTTATTCCCATCTCAGCAATATTCTCCCGACCCTCCTAGAGGGTCCAAAGGATTCTACTAAGAGCCCATGCATTTGTGGTCCTACTCCAGGATGGGGCCACAAGGTGGATCCCTAGGAGTCACACTGCCATCATCCCTGCAACTTGCCTCACCTCTTGTCCCGAGAAACCTTCAGTAATTTCCTCTGCGCCTTCCTCAGCTCCTCCTGGAAGCACTCGTGTTCCTGTATCACGAGCAGGGCGGGCGCTGATCAAGAGCGGTCGATAAAGGGGCCGGGAACCCGAAGACAGCTCGCCCCACCCCCTTTACACATGGGTAAACTGAGGTCCTCTCAGCGCCAGGCCTCGCACTAGGCAACCTCCCACACCAGCACTCACGTAGATGAGAAATTTGAGCTTCCGCTTCAGATTACGATATTTCTTTTTGTAGTCCACTTCACCGTCTGCCGGCCCGTTCATGACCCGCCCCAGAGCAGCACCCCAGCGTCTGGCGTCCAGCTACAGCGAGCCGGGTCCGTCGGGTCTCTCGCGCCCCCACTTCCGGAGACTCTGCAAAGCAGTACCTTCTCGGACTACTACTCCCGGCGTGCCCCGCGCGCAGGCAGCGTGTCCGCACGGACCGCCCTCCTGGGGAACACCGGGAAAGGAACGCGGCTTCCAGTGGCTGCGCTGAAGATGGCGTAGCAGCGGCGCGATAACGTCATAAAGATGGCGGACGCTGGAGGGCGCCGTTACTGATTCTAAATGTGCTTAGGGTTTTGGAGCCAGGAAAAGAGATTCCTAGTCTCTTGGAGAGTATGCCTTTTTTCTTCTGATCTTCATAATAACAGAGGTCTAGTCGGTGTCCGCGGCCACGGTGGAAGGGATCGTCGCGAGTTGATTACGTTACAACCAAACGCTGTCGGCGCCGAATCGGTTTCTAACAAGAACTTTATAAATGATTAATTTAAACCAAGGGTAGGAGTCGAGAGACCCTTCAGTTTCTCAGAGAAAACAAGTTTTGTGTGCCAAAGTTCTCTGCCCCAGCGGTCTCTCACCGAAGTTCAACCGGCACCTGGTCTTACGGTGCCGCGGCACTGCGCGTGCGCGAGCTACTGTCAAACGCGCTGACCAAGGCGGACAGGAAAAAAGGCGGGAGCCGCCAGTCCCAAGTGGAGCAAAATGGCGCAAGAAAATGAGATGCAGGAGTTCACGCGGAGTTTCTTCCGAGGCCGACCTGACCTCAGGTGAACAAGGGACAGGAGTTGGGGTTGGAAAAGGCAGGGGTGGAGCGGGGACTGCGCCTTGACACTTGTCTCCATAGCACGCTCACGCACTCCATCGTGCGGCGGAAGTTCTTGGCCCAAGTGGGCCGCAATCATCTGAAACCCGAAGAGAAGCAGGTGCTGAAGCGGCTGGTGGAGGAAGAGCTGCTGAAGATGCAGGTGAGGGCACAGGCATAGGCCACCAGAGGTGGGGTTTATTGCCCGGGTGGGGCGGGACACAACCTTAATACTTTTTGCTCTCAAGGTGGATGAAGCTGGTTCTAGGGAAGAGAAGCTCAACCTTAACAAAAAGGTGAAGAGGCCTCCCACCCCCTGCAGTGACCCAGATAGCAAAAGGTTCCGCTTCAATTCAGAGTCAGGTTAGTGCTTCTTCCCTCCTATCTGTGCCTTCTGCATCACTGGTTCATTCAAAAGGTATTTGTTGGGCTGAGCTGGGCTGTAGCTCAGTGGTAGAGCTCTTGCCTAGCACGCGTGAGGCACTGGGTTCAATTCTCAGTACCACATATAAATAAATTAATAAATAAAAATCCATCGATAATTTAAAAAATGTTATTTTTTAAAAAAGGTATTTGTTGTATATTATGTCCCAAGGCATTATATGGGCCCAGGCATCTGGAACCAGAAACTGGGGCGTAGTGATGGCTGTTTCCTACTGCCCTTCCATCTATCAGAGCAGGGCTGGAGGTAACCAATCCCAAATGGAGGGAAAATGGACAGGAGAAACCTATACCAACCCTCTTTTCTCTCCACATTGCAGAGTCCAGCTCTGCAGCCTCCAGTCCTGACTCCTTTGGATCCCCATCAAAGAATGGGACAGCAGCAGCAGAAGTCAGCCCAGCCAAGGAAGAGAAGGGTCCAAGTCGAGCCTTAAAGAAAGTGGTTGAGAGCAGTGATGAGGAACAGCAAGAAGACCTGACTGCAAATATGAGAATAGAGAATAGTGAGGAGGAAGAAGGTTCTGTCAGAACAAGTAAGGTTTGGAAGGAAGGGAGCAGTGAGGAAGATGAGAAAAAAGAATACAAGGGAAGGACTAGGAAGAAACCTGGGATCAAGAACAAACAAACATCAGGCAAGGCCTCGGCCAGGAAGAAGCAGGCCAGAGAAGAAAGGGAGGACAGTGAGGAAGAACCTGTCCAGAGAATATCAAAGAAGGCAGGGGGAAATAGAGGGGCTCCAAGCCACCAGGAAAATGAAAAGGAGAGTGAGGAGAAAGAGATTGTGGCCAAGAAGAAAGAGAGCAGGGAGGAGAAGGAGGTAGAGGAGGAGGAATGGAAGCCTAGAGCCAGAGGCAATGGAGGGGAAAGATCAGCTTGGGAGGGGAGAAGCTGTAAGCAGAAAAGCAGGGCAGGGAGGCAAACGAGAGACTGGGAGGACAGCGGGGATGAGAAAGAGGCAGTGGACAGTGAGGATGAGAAAGAGGCAGTGGACAGTAGGGAGGACAGTGGGGAGGATGAGGAGCCTCTAGTGCATTGGAAGAGCAAAGACAGGACCCAGTGTAAGGGTGGTCAGAGTCAGAGCAGAAGCAATGAGGATGGAGAAGACAAAGGGAAGGTGCAATCACCAGCCCAACTGGGCAGTGTCAACGGTGAGGAGAGTGACTTGGAGAGGGAAATGAGTGACAGCGAGGCAGGAGAGAGCCCCAAGGGGGAAAGGAAAAACCGCTCATCTAAGAAGAGCTCCAAGAAAGGCAGGACACGAAGCTCTTCTTCCTCCTCGGATGGAAGTCCAGAACCTAAAGGCAGGAAGGTGAGGGAACAGCTGAGGCAGAAGGCCACCACCAGTAAAGAGGGAGACTCTGACTTCAGGGTAGCAGGCTTGGTCTTCAGGTACTCTTTCCTTGATAGGCTGCCTCTGGTCGCCGTGGAGAGGACCACCCAGCTGTGATGAGGCTAAAACGCTACATCCGAGCCTGCGGTGCTCATCGAAACTACAAGAAACTGCTGGGCTCCTGTCACTCACACAAGGAGCGTCTGAGTGTCCTCCGGGCTGAGCTGGAAGCCCTGGGAATGAAGGGTGAGGCAGTGCGTGCCCTGGGAGGTACAAGGGGGTCTGGCTGCTGGGGAGAAAGGGACACAAGCTTCTTTTGCCCCAGGTAACCCTTCCTTAGAGAAGTGTCGGGCCCTGAAGGAACAGCGGGAAGAGGCAGCAGAGGTAGCCTCCTTGGATGTTTCCAACATCATCAGTAGTTCAGGTGAGTCTTCTTCTCCAAGCCACCAGGAAAATGAAAAGGAGAGTGAGGAGGAAGAGTGATGAGGAGCAGATGGGGTTGGATTTTCACAGACAACTAATCTTCCGTCCCTGACCCTGGCCTTCAGGCCGGCCACGCAGACGTACAGCCTGGAACCCTTCAGGAGAAGCAGTCCCGCCAGGGAAGCTGTACCGCAGAACACTGGACTCAGAGGAGGAGCGGCCCCGTCAGGCACCCCCAGACTGGTCACATATGCGTGGCATCATCAGCAGTGATGCAGAGAGTAACTAAGCTTCCCTGTCCCCCAGGAGGAACCCTTTTATGTGTACAAAGTATGTGTGGCACCTCCTACTCTAAACCTGCACAGACCAAGACCAGAGAAGACTGCAGCCCCCATGGACATAAGTTATTCAGACACTACTTCTCAGCTTCACATTCTTGGTTTAAAGTGTTTACAGGGGTTTATTTTTTAAAAGACTCAATAAAGGAATATTTGTAATTACCATTAGAACCTGTCCCCCACTCTTATTCCCTATATCTTAGGACCAGAAAGCTGGTACTATTAGTAACCAGGGGTCTAGCTCCCTTTCATCTCTCCCAGGTTCCCCAAAGTCATCCCAGCCTCTAGACTCTTTCACCCGAAGTCTGCTACCAGGCCATATCTGAGAAGTGTTTGGCCTAGCCTTCCTCCAACCTGTTGGTGGACCCCTCTGGTGACCCTGCTTTTAGCTAGGTCTGGTAATGCCCACTTGGGAGAAAGATGGCCTTAAGAATACAAAGCACAGCTGGGCACAGCAGGGCCCACCTATAATTCCAACAACCCAGGAGGCTGAGGCTGGATTGCAAGTTCTAGGCCAGCCTCCATAACTTGGCAAGATCCTGACTCAAAAAAAAAAAAAAAGGGGCTGAGGATATCACTCAGGTACAGAGTCCCAGGTTTCAACCCCCAGTACCCCCCCCCCCAAAAAAGGATGTGAAGCACAAATGGATTTGGGGACAGTTGGTGTTTATGCCTTCCACTTCACAGGCACTTTTTCCAGGAGCTGATTCTGTCAGCCTTAAAGGGGTAGGTACAGGACTTAGACCTGACTGATTAGTGAGGGCCCTGCAGGCATCTGTCAGAAATCTCCTTGTTGAGGCCGCTAAGTAAAATATAAAAGTGTGAGCTGCCAGGGGTATGTGTGAAGTGGGGCTTTCTGAGAATTTTTGCCAAAGGAAAGCAGAGAATAGTGACATCCCTTGAAATCCTGGATCCAGTCATTAAAATCACTGGAATTTTGCTGGGCGTAGTGGTGCACACCTGTAGTCCCAGTGACTCAGGAGGCTGAGGTAGGAGGATCACAAGTTCCAGGTCAGTCTCACCAACTTAGTGAGATCCTGTTTCAAAATAAAAAAATTAAAAGGTCTGGAGATGTAGCTTAGTGATGATGTGCCCCTAGGTTCAATCTTCAGTATCATAATCAATCAGTTAATTAATTAATTAATGGGATTTAGTTACATAGCCCAATAAATTTTCTTTCTGGTGCTGGGGATTGAACCCAGGGCCTTGTGCATGTGAGGCAAGTAATCTACCAACTGAGCTATATCCCAGGCCCATAAATTTTCTTTTCAAATACAAGTTAACTGGTGGACATGATGGCACATGCCTGTAATCCCAGTGTGAACTCAAGAGGCTGAGACAGGAGAATTGCAAGTTCAATGCCAGCCTCAGCAATTTAGCAAGGCAATTTATCAAGACCCTGTCTCAAATAAAAAGGGCTATGGATGTGGCTCAGTGGTTAAGTGCCACTGGGTTCAATTCCTGGTATCAAAATAAATAAATTACAAGTTAACACTATCAGTTGCCTCTGAACAGGCCTTCTCACGAAACTAAGACAGAAAGGGTGAGTCCTGGGATCTGTTAGAATAACCAACAGTTTATTAAAAGCTTGCCCTGGGGCTCTGTGCCAGCCCCACAGCTGAGAGGGGCTCCCATGACTGCCCCCAGGCCCAGGAGCAGCCCTTTTCAAGGTCCTTCCCTTGTTCCCCGCCCCAGCCCTGACCCCAATTAAAAAAAAAAAAAAAAAAAACAGGACAAGACGGCACAGGACGTCAGACAGCAACGGGGGAATGGAGAGACCCAGGCATCCTGACCCCAAGACCCCATCTTGATCCTTCTTTCCAAGGAAGGCCTTGCCTCCTAT